TGCAGCAGCCTTGATCTGGTGATTTGCATGATGGTGCTTTTTTGTTTATGAATAGACCTACATACAGTCTGGAAACTGAAAAGGAGTGAAGTGAAAAATATTACATTTCTCAATAAACAATACATTTAGGTCATTTTGTATTATAACACAGTTAGCAGACTAAGCTGTATTTTCTAACTCCTGTTAAAATGAATGTTTCCATGCTTATGGTAATAATTAAATTTAAATTAAATTAAGTTTATTCATGTAGCGCCAATTCACAACATATGTCATCTCAAGGCATTTTAAGGGATAATTCACCCAGATCATGCAGTCATATCGGTACAAATTTTCCTATCTCAGGAAAACCAGCTGATTGCATTGACTCACTGGCTTGACAGCAGTCCCTCCACTGAAAAAATTCCCATCAGAACAATTTTACTGACATGTCTGTTAAATGAATGTTCCTGATTACCTCATCACTTTACTCTGAGTGACATGACATCCTAATTATCTTAATGATTGAGAAACAACACCCTCTTCTGTCCCATGGGAGAGGGCAGACCAACAAATGACCTGTCTTGCGAAATACGTTAGACAGCTTAAAGGCTAAGTGAAAGACTATTTGGATTGGAGGATTGGTTTTAGTGTCTCAAACTAAGAGCCTTTTCTTGACAGTTGATGTTAGAGATGCTTCTTGGCTAACCATCAATCTGTTGCGAGCTGTGAAGTATTTTTTTTTTAGGTTAAATAGGAGCTTTTTATCTTTTGTTCCAAAGCCCAAAGTACACTCAGACATAATGTATCACTTAGAAGATGAAGATTCGTTTTTATAGTCAGAGTTTTCAGTTATGTTAAGTAATCTCAGACTTTACTTCGATCCCTAATTTTCAGTGACTGAGTTAGGAAACATTCTTCTTACTGATGCAATGCTCAACATTTTCTATAAAAAGTGTTTCCTAAAGCTAAACCATCTTTCAGTGACTGTTTTGTTTACAAATTCTATAATCATGCATAGTAACACCTATATAGTATGTAAATGTATGCATAAAAAAAACATATAATAAAGTGAAAACATTATGTTGAAAGTCCTAGCAAAAACAAGTTTATTAATCAAGTTTTAAGTTCTTAGATGCTAATAAATCCAGATGACATTGAAAACCGATTTAAACAAGACCAGTTATCCCAATTAAAACCTCCAAATCCACTAACAAGAACTGTGTGATCAACAGAATCTGAGTATAAATAGAACCCTAATGCAATGAAATGTGACTCCACTTGAAATCAATCATAAACAGTTTATAAAGCACTTAAAATCCACCACTTAAACCTAAGTACTTAATGTTAGGTTTCAGCTTGTCCATACCAGTTCTGAGGCCTGATTTTTCCATGTGTGTATTATTTCATACATGGAAATTAACCATGTAAGAGATAATAATTCTAAAGTTTGTTTCTTTTTCTTTCATTTATGACAGCTTATTCCACATTGCTCAACATATATTTATCCCCAAATTATCCAATTTTTTAAAATCATGTAGACCTTTAGATAATAATAGAGGTACATATCACTGCAAAAACAATCCAGAAATAAGTAAAAAATGGCTTAAATTAAGTATATTTAGCCTTAATTTGAGCAGGTAAATAAGATGATTTGCCAATGGAATGAGTATTTTTACTCTTAAAATAAGATAGTTAGATAAGATTTACTTGAAATAAGACGATAAAATAGTTTTTTCTTATTTTAAAAGGAAATTGTCTTGTTCCATTGGCAAAGTGTCTTACTTACCTCCTCAAATCAAGGAAAAACACACTTATTTTAAGAAAAAATAACTTATTGAGATTTCTTTTTTTTGCAGTGAAGACACACTGGCTGAATGTCTGGTTTTGTTTCTTTCCTGCAAAATCAAATTGAGATAAAATCTGAATTATTTATACCTTTAGGCTTCCAAACTCCTATAACTAAGACCACATTTCCATTTTTTTCTTTGAGGTTTTCCCCCTTTAGAGCACATGTGGAGGTCTATCTAATGTTACCGAGTTCATTACATCATAGCAGCTGAGTTGGAAAAAAATGTTCACATCTGCTGAGCAGGGAAATGCAATACACAGCAGACAGCTGTGTAACTGTGTGTGTGTGTACATGCACAGATGCTCCAGGGTCACGTGGAAGCCCAACTGGAGAACATAAATCAGACCCAAATTTGTTAGAAATCTAAAAACCAACCCCACCCTTCCCTCCTTTGGCTTGGCTACAACTGAGATTTACCACTTTAACTGAATAAGCACAACTTTATGCTTAAAGATATATTAAACCCTGAAAACAAAAATAAGGACGACACTTTATTTTGAAAGGTTTTGAATTGTGTCTGTTGTATTAAAGTGACATATGTATTTTATTGGCATTTTTTATTTGTTATGTATTAACCTGACACAGTGTCTCTGAAATTAGTGGTTTGTGTAAATTTTCTTTGCCTAAACAAATGTTGATGATGTTAAACCTTGTGTTTAATGAATCAATCTTGCTTTTAAGAACAATTTTACAAATTGTAAAATTGCTGCTGCATGGTTATAAAGAATTAAGGTAGTAACTTGTTAGTACTAGGACTACAGTTAATTGCTAGTTGAGTATTTGCCATTGAGGAAAATAAGCATGTCTTTTTTTCTGATGTACATTTTATGCATAAAACCAGCCTGAGGTTTGCTGCAATGTATTTAGTATTTCCCACCATCTGAAACAAACAGTTATTCATTGCTTAAATTAATGCAAAGTCATCTATGGTGATCTTGAGTCAGCTGGAGAGTGAACCCGTGATGATGAGGACTAAGTCTTTGCATTGTTTGCACACACTAATGGCCAGATTACAAAGTTAGTGGAGCACAAGCAACCGCCAGGCCTTTAAAAACCAAATAAAGAGGGCAGTGGAGTGTTGAATCCTAAAGTGAGAGTTGGAAAAAAAAAAATAAAAAAAAAAGCTGAAGAGGTCCTCTCTGGGCATGGGTCGATAAAAATCACATGGTTCTAGAAGATTTAGCGTGGTGTTATTTCAATATAAAAGGCATTATTGAACTAAGGAACTGAATTTTCTAGCAGTACAGAAATGGGTGTTGTTCAATAGATGAGCTAGGTGTGCAGACAGAATGCAGGCAGCCATAGTAGGAGATAGGAGCAATGACAGTTTATTTTGGTTCACAGGCACACAGGGAAGGAAGGCGTCTCTGGAAGCTAGGGCAGTTTGAGGAGGAAGGCAAGCTCTCTGCAGCAGCTAGAGATTATCAAGGTGGGTGGTATGGCTTGGTAGCTGGAGACTGGTTTGGAGCTGGATCCTGGGTAGACAGAGCACAGGTTGGATCCATATAAACAATCCCAAAGCTGAAGTGATTATTTCCACAAGGGAAAGAAGTTGGCACATCTACCAAATAACAGTGACCATCATGCAGTGAGCACACAAGAGGCCAGGCTTTAAATATTGCTCCAGATGAAGATCAGTCTCAGGTGTGTGCAGCCAGCTCCTCCCAAGCCACACCTATGAGAGAGAGGGAACACAACCTAAACTGTACCTAAAAAAGCTCAGAAACCACATGCTTTTTAATACTAAATCCAGAATAGAGAACTTGAAGACTACAAGAGAAGGCTGTCTGTTTCCATTGAGCAGCCTTGCATTTGAATAGCAATGTTGAATTATCCTCTGCCCTTTGGCAGACTATATATATATATATATATATATATATATATATATATATATATATATATATACACACATACTGTATAATATAGACAAAAATCATGATATATATCATGATTTTCGGCTATAAGATTGATGTTTGACTTCCTAATATTGTATTTTTTTTTCTTTATTTTTTGTCTATTTTTTTCTTTTTATAAATAAATAAATAAATCATAAAATAAATGGGCAGACTCAAACAGCAAACAACATAAATTCTGAAGAAAATATACAGCACTTGATTTTTTTATCTATACATTTAATTTTGAATCCTGGATAAAATATCGCAATATACAGTGATATTGCAATATTGTGATAATGTCTTATAGTGAACCAAGTATCTTGACACATATCGTATCACAACACAAGTCAATACTCAGCACTAATATATACTATATATATATATATATATATTAAAAATAAAACATTTTACAAGAATAAAGCAAATAATTCCCAGTGCAGTTGAAACCTTTAAACTTGTTTTTTAGGTAAACATATCTTACTCTCTGTCTCTGTGTAAATGCATTCCAAATGAAAAGAAAAGTTTTCCAAGGTGTGGTTTTGGGGAGGACTTGCTTACGCTGGCACATCTTGTCATTCACTCAGCCTGCTGTGGTCTGTCTCGTTTGGGAAGCTGCAGTCATTTAGTTACAGTGTGTATATAGAAAACAGCTGGGCTACACAGCAGAATGGGTCAGAAGATGATTTATCTGGTTGGAATTCTGGAATAGATATCACAGGGGTGCTCAGATAAGATCAAGAGATCATCTAGATGCTGCAGTAGTTAGAATGTTTTAAATAATGACAACGATTATCATGTACTTTTTAGATATACATCTAAATTTATATTTCTTTCCTTACAAATAATACCCATAATCTGATTCTCTCATCAGAGGTATCGAACAGTGAACCCTAGAGGTGAAGAGGGGGAGGGGAAGAACAAAGGAATCACAGAAAATGGTGGGAAAACATGATGGGTTAGAAAATGATGAATGCTAATCATAGAATCAGCTCTGTCGTTGGTCAGTTATGTTTAACTTATTCCATTGAGAGGGAATAAAGCATCTTTAAGTCAAAGAAAAAGGACGGGCGGAAGAAGGATGGTAGGAAGGCAGAGGCGAAGGGGAGACAGAAAAGAGCACGGGGGAGGAGGGAGCTCTGTTGCGTTTGCCTCCTCTGTCATTCTGCTGCTGCGCCGTTCAGCAGCAGGAGGGCGTGCAGAAGGGAGGAGAGAGGAAAAAACGGTGGAGAGGAGGACAGAGGGGAAGGAGAGAAAGGGAGCGTCTGGGCAGCACTGCAACTGCAGCAGCCTGTCTGGAAGAAAGAAGGATAGAAAGGGACAGGAGGAAGGGAAAGAAAGCAGAAGATTTGAACTGAAGGGGATATACATGTATGATTCCACACAAGGAGGCGTGTTTCACTAAGGAAGACCATTTTCTCCCTCCTAATGCGTTTTGATAATGGTCTCGTGCAGGAGGCGTGCTTGGAAATAGAGTGAAAGGCAAAAACGAAAATTTGAAGATGGAGAGGACTGACAGCACCAAGGCATACGGCCAAGCAGATGGCAAAGGAGTAGGCATGGCAGCTAAGAGGGCCAAGTCTGGAGTGCCCCAGAGCACACAACGTGGGGAGCTAAAGGTTTATCGGGCAGGCAGTTCTGAGGGCAGGATACCAGTGCCCTCAAATCTTCGCAAGCAGAGGTCGATGACAAATCTGGCTGTCCTCACTGATGCTGAGAAGAAGCTGCATCTATATGAGCCAAAGTGGTGTGATGACATGGCCAAGCCTGGAGCAGGGCAGACCAAGACCAACAAGCCAAAAACCCCAGGCAGTGGCAGCAGTGCCGGTGGGGGTGCCCCCCTTTCTCGAAACCTATCCAAATCTGAACATTCACTGTATCAGGGAAAACCCAAACCTTTCAGTGCCCTGGCTGCTCCTTCTTCCCTGAGCAAGCAGAGCCGCATACCTCGTGGTCCTTTTGCTGAGGTGAAGCCGTTGAGCAAGGCACCTGAGGATGGAAAGTCAGATGATGAAATCCTCTCGAGCAAAGCAAAAGCCATTCCAAAGAAAGCTGGTGCTGGTGCGGAGTCCAGTTGCAAAGGCCAGGGAGAGGAAGGTGGAGATAAGCCATTTCTGAAGGTGGACCCAGAGCTGGTGGTGACAGTGCTAGGAGACCTGGAGCAGCTTCTTTTCAGTCAGATGTTAGGTAAGTACAGCAAAGCCCTGTCAGTTGGTTAGGTGTACTACGAACCAGAGGACCTGATCATGCTATCTGCTCCAATGCACCACGCCCCCTCTCATACAGCAACACGGCACCCCGCTTCTGCAGCAGGTTGACATTTCTCCTTAGCAGGTTTTACGCGGTTCACAAGTGGGAGGGAGAAATGCATCATTGTACTCCTATTGTTTTTTTTTATGCTATTTTTTTCCCCCTAGAAAGATTTTCAGATAGTTGAACACCATCAATCTCCATTGTTCTAACTCATCCAGGATGTTATTTAGATGTCTGATGTTTGAAGGTTGATCATGTGAAACATTCTCACTCACTATCATAACAATATGGGGTGACTGTGTAAAGCTTGGAGGGGTTGGGGGGAGGTTGTGGATTATAACCAGTAGATTGATCATATTTCTGCATGCTTCCAAAAAAACATTGACAAGCCATATTGAGTTCCTTGTTCTTCTCTGGGCATCACAGTTCTGAGGGGTGGTTTACATCATCTCTACCATTGCAGGGCAAAGCCCTGAGCTTTTTAAGTGTAGTTCAGGTATTGGGATGGGCTTCATGAATAATAATAAGATTCTAATTGTTGAAGGTGATGATTAGGATTGTAATGGCTGAATATTTTGTGCTTTGTTTATCTTCGTACAGCAGGGTCTTTTGTATTCTTTCTCAAGTGGAGCATTATCACCTGTAGTCACAGAAGAGAACAAAGCTTTATCTTTGGGAAATCTGCCAGATGTTGTCAACACAAAGCCTACATTCATTAGGGTGATGATCCTCAAAGTCTTTTCTAACATGTTTCAGCTTTAAATTTACTTAGAAACTTGATGCTACGATTAAAACTTTACTTTTAAATAAAAAGCATTCCCCTGAATATAACCAATCAGAGGAATTTTAATATCATTGATCGTCATATTGATATAAGGACGATTTTTAACACCACTTTTTCAGCACAGCATTAGCTCTCAGATATAGCAGCATGTTTTTCCTTCACATTCGTTTTACTTATTAACAACATTAGTACTCTTGCTTTTTAATGAACCCATCTGTTGCAATTCGACATGTTGCCCATGCCTCATTAACCTGAACAGAAATCCATCATTCAAGTATGTCTCAAATTATACAGGTGCTGGTCATAAAATTAGAATATCATGAAAAAGTAGATTGATTTCAGTAATTCCATTTAAAAAGTGAAACTTGTATATTATATTCATACATTACATACAAACTCATATATTTCAGATGTTTATTTTGTTTAATTTTGATGATTACAAATGACAACAAATGAAAATCTCAAATTCATCATATCAGAAAATTAGAATATTACTGAAGACCAATAAAAACAAAGGATTTATAGAAATGTTGGCCAACTGAAAAGTATGAACATGAAAAGTATGAGCATGTACAGCACTCAGTATTTAGTTGGGCCTCCTTTGGCCTGTATTACTGCAGCAATGCGGCGTGGCATGGAGTCGATCAGTCTGTGGCACTGCTCAGGTGTTATGATAGCCCAGGTTGCTCTAATAGTGGCTTTTAGCTCTTCTGAATTGTTGGGTCTGGTGTATTGCATCTTCTTCTTCACAATACCCCATAGATTTTCTATGGGGTTAAGGTCAGGAGAGTTTGCTGGCCAATTAAGAACAGGGATACCATGGTCCTTCAACCAGGTACTGGTAGCTTTGGCACTGTGTGCAGGTGCCAAGTCCTGTTGGAAAATGAAATCTGCATCTCCAAAAAGTTGGTCAGCTGCAGGAAGCATGAAGTGCTCTAAAACTTCCTGGTATGTGGCTGCGTTGACCCTGGACCTCAGAAAACACAATGGACCAACACCAGCAGATGACATGGCACACCAAACCATCACTGACTGTGGAAACTTTACACTGGACTTCAAGCAACGTGGATGAAGTGCCTCTCTTCTTTTCCTCCAGACTCTGGGACCTTGATTTCCAAAGGAAATGCAAAATTTACTTTCATCAGAGAACATGACTTTGGACCACTCACCAGCAGTCCAGTCCTGTTTCTCTTTAGCCCAGGCAAGACGCTTCTGACGCTGTCTGTGGTTCAAGAGTGGCTTGACACAAGGAATGCGACAGCAGAAACCCATGTCTTTCATACGTCTGTGTGTGGTGGTTCTTGAAGCACTCACTCCAGCTGCAGTCCACTCTTTGTGAATCTCCCCCACATTTTTGAATGGGTTTTGTTTCACAATCCTCTCCAGGGTGCGGTTATCTCTCTTGCTTGTACACTTTTTTCGACCACATCTTTTCCTTCCCTTCGCCTCTCTATTAATGTGCTTGGACACTGAGCTCTGTGAACAGCCAGCCTCTTTAGCGATGACCTTTTGTGTCTTGCCCTCCTTGTGCAAGGTGTCGATGGTCGTCTTTTGGACAACTGTCAAGTCAGCAGTCTTCCCCATGATTGTGTAGCCTATAGAACTAGACTGAAAGACCATTTAAAGGCTTTTGCAGGTGGTTTGAGTTAATTAGCTGATTAGAGTGTGGCACCAGGGGCCATCAATTTTGAACCTTTTCACAATATTCTAATTTTCTGATATGATGAATTTGAGATTTTCATTTGTTGTCATTTGTAATCATCAAAATTAAACAAAATAAACATCTGAAATATATGAGTTTGTATGTAATGTATGAATATAATATACAAGTTTCACTTTTTAAATGGAATTACTGAAATCAATCTACTTTTTCATGATATTCTAATTTTATGACCAGCACCTGTATACAGTACCAGGAAATGTAAACTGTAAACACGACAGACGGCAACGTACATATTCATGTCATTTGTGGGGCTTCAAAGAATTGTAAATTTCCCATACATTTCTCTATTTGTTAATATTTGACTTCAAATATTCAAATCAAACCAACATTTGTTATTTTAAAGCATGGAGGCGTGTTATCTTACTACATTATGTATCATGATAGAAATACCGTGTTTGCCACTGACAGACCTTTTCATGCACTATTTAAAATGAAGTATGCATTTTTATGCATACTTTTATACATACTTCAGTATGCATTTTTATGCTTAAATTAAATTAGTTTCCTAAATCAATTGCATTCCCTTTTTGTCTGCTTTCTGCAAAAGTCAGTGAATTATGCAAAACTAATAGTGCATTTGTTTGATGATCTTGGCGCTGATGAATGGCTTAATTATTCATTCCATTCACCTGTCCAACGCTACCTGGTTTCTAATCACTCATCTGATCCACTGGCTCCTGCATCTATATAAGGTGCTTGCATCCAGTTATCAGGGCCAGATTATTCTCCTTCTCGTCTGCCAGTGGTGAGAGGATTTTTAGCTTACCTGAGTGTTTCTGGTTTCCTGACCTTTACCTGTTCTGCCTCTCAACCACTGAGCCTCCCTGTTCCCTTCTGAATGGTTTGCCTGATCTATCTTTGGACTCCTGCTTGTTCTCTGGGCTGCAGCATCTGGGACACTCTGGGCTATGCCCGTCGCATCTTGTTGGCAGCCCGCTGGCTGAATCCTACCTCGTTCTCAGGACACGGCCTGAACTGTTAAACCAGGTTAGGGACTCACGCGTTCATGTCATCCTCCATTTGATTTCGCTGTCACTTTCCTGAGTTTCCTTTTACAGATAGACATCCTAGCCACTGCAGCTGCTGAAATGCAGACCCATCTTTAAATAAATGCTTTTAAATTATCACACTGTCTCTCTTGCCTTGAATACTGGGTCCTCTGTTCTGAGTCTTGACAATTTTAACAGATTAAGAAAGATTAGATAATTATATCCTGAGTTTTAGCAGCTTCTAATTCTCTACCTTTTAGTTTAGTTGAGGCACACATGAATATTTTTAAAGCACATCTCCACCATCATCTTTATCATCATCATTATCACTATTACAATGTCCTTCCATTATAAAATTAAGTATGAAAAATCATTTGACTTAAGACGAAGGTCCTATGGATCATAATTTGAATATCCGCCAAAGAACAAAAACAAAAGCTCCTGTGAGGATGCATGCTTAACCTAGCAGAGAGTGACATTACACCTTCTGAACAAAGTTCTATACGGGCTAAATAAAAATCCTGAATTCATTGTGTAGATACACTTAGGGAGAAAAAATGTGGAGGATGTGTAAGCCTGTCTCCTAAGGTCTGACAAACCAAAACTTATATTATTAGACAGCAAAAATAATCACAGGTACATTTGGAGTAAAGGGGAGCATGACTTCAACAGCTAGCTACAAACCAAGCAGTCCTTAAAATAAAATAGATAAATTCTTAAGAAAAAAACATTATGTAGAAATATTTACACAGAAAGCAAGAACTTGGACATAAAAGGGTCTGTTATGTAGACAGTGGCCTTAAATATACCAATTAGTTTGCAAGAGGATTAATTTCAATCATTGTTTTGATGTGAAATTACTCGAGCAGAATTAAAGCTACAGTGTGTAATAATTACAGGGATATACAGTCAGAAATGTAATATATTATACATAACTATGTTATTTATCATCATCTACGAGCTCAGCTTCTTAACCTTAATATTTGTGTTGCCTTAGAATTCGTTATTTATAATTACATAGGAGCGGGTCTCGCAGCCATGGAGGCAGACATCTTTGCGCTACGGCAGCGCAGAGCCAACAAACTAGCGATTGCGAGATCGCCCATTACGCTTGAAAGTAACTACGGCAAGTTGAGAGAGATGAACTGAGACGGTACTGAACAATAGATGGCAGTATTAAAATTATCTATGTAAACAAACCTCATCACTTGAGAAGGTAGGTGATGCGGACGTCGTGGAAGACATTTTGTCCCGTAACGCTCGCCGAACTGTTGGGGGGGGAGAAGTGGTGGGGGGGAGATGTTCATGTTGCTGCAGTCTGCAGTCTGACCGCTAGATGTCGCTCAAAATTACTGACTGTAGCTTTAAAAAGTTGAAAGCAAGTTGGCCCCAAACCTGATGCAGTAACATTAACCCTGACTGGGGTTATGTGAAATGA